TCGAAACTAAATAGCTTTCGTTGCTCTGTTTCCGCATGCGTGCGTGCATAATTAAGGAAGAGAGAATTTATAAGCTCCCTGGTTACCTTGCCTTTCAATTTCTTTGTTTGCACCCAAACATAGACTTCCACAAGAAAAATGACGATATAGGGAAAGCAGAAATTCTCGAAATAAAATATTGATATTAAAAATAATTAAGAAAACTTCAATTTGATGCTTCATAGACACAGGTGTCATGCTTATTAGACTGCAGAAGGCTTCTCGCAATGAATACACCTACACGAGAATACCTTAGAGATTGTTCTCCAGGGAAATACTTGCCTTTCTTGCTGCCATCGTCTTCAGACACGGGCAGAACGTTTCTCGAACAGTGTCGGTGTAAATTGACGCAGTAATTGTGTCGCTTCATCACTTTTTCACACGTTTGCAACCGGGTGAATGAGATTGGGACGAGATTCGAGGAGCCGAGATCCGTAATAATAAAAAAGCCCTGGCCAGGGGGTATCAGTCGAGGGTGGATCGTTACAAAAGAAGCCCCGTCTCTTATTTAATTCATCAGACTGGCTATTGACGGCTTAATGTGATTAATCTTCGGGCATTTATAAAGTTCGATCGATAGAATCGAAATAAACTGGTATACAAGATGCTGCTGAATTATAAATGCAGGATATAAAAATGATTCTATCTTTTTTAGAGAAGAAAAATTCAACCATTTTTTGTATAGCTTTGATGTGAAATGTATTTTGAAAACTTTGCTGCATCAACCACTGAATTCCACATCCTATACAATCTGTTCATATATAATTCACAAGCAGCTAGTATACGTTGCTCCCTATTTCTTCGCGAATCTTTTCACGTACATCGTGAACCCGGATTTTAGCTCGTGACTAGGAGACCCATTGTATCCTGTCAGGGTCTAACTGTGATATAAAATTCCTCGTAAGATATTCTCTAAACACACAATGTAACCATTTTACGTATTAGTTCCTTTGTTAACTATTAATCGACATTTTCTTGCCTCCTGACCTTACCATTGTTAGGTCATCGAAATGGTGAGGATGGGTTACAGAGACTTTCTACCATCGAGAACTTGATTCCAGTTGTTCACAGTAGGTGGTTAAGTACAGCTATCTGTGTACCATGGGATGAGATTTATCTCTCGAATTGAATCAGTCATTGAGAAAAGGGATCCTTCAGAATAATTTCGAAATTTTATTTTTTATTGTTATCCACTTGGAGTAAAATTTTTATTATTCATGAATTTATAGTATACGTTATAGTAGTCAATTTGTTAATAATAGTGTTAGGAAATATTTAATTTAATTTTGAATTTATGAAGTGGTTATTGTTGATCTTAAGTGCACATCGGCACTTAAGTGCATCAGTGTTGAACGTTGACTAAGTCACGAGGCTGCAGGGGATATTTTTACCTTTCAAAGTAGCTTCAAAGTCCCCTGTCTTCATGGTAATAAAGCGAAACATGTATTCCTCAATTTCGTCCGCTATTCAAACAAGCTCGAGGTTTCATTAGTCTCCTCCGTCGCTTCTTTGACGGCTGCTGCTGCTCGTCAGTGTCTTTCACTCTAATCGGCCATCTTTTTGATTAGGTCGCCTTGAATGCACCCCTTCCTACAGCCTTTCTTCTTCCTCGTACAATTTTATTACATACTTTTCTAACTTTATTTACATTCATATATATTAAACGACGGGCATTCGACGCAGCATTTCGTTCTCATTATACTTGGTGCTGACTAATTAAACTAATTTTACGCTTATTGGAGAATCACTCGGTATAATGAGATTTATTATAATTGTACAGTATTTATGAAAGGATTGTTGTTACGAGCGTTGGTTATTTATTCAAATTAATTTTGCATGATTAACACGTTAACCATTGTGAACAATTCAATTCTAGAAGATAGAAAAATTTCCAAATTTTTCACTTTATATTATTAGTATAATATTCCAATTTTTCCCCTACCAGGGATGAGAAAAGATTATGTAGAAATAGTTCTAAAGGTGCATCTTTTCTAAAATACAAATAATGGAAATTTAGATATTTAATTAATTTTCCATCTATTACTTTTCTAACACTCTACCCCCCGGACGGGGTTCCGTGAGGGAATACTTTTCTAACAGAACAAAGAAACGTGTCGAGGGATTACCTATATTCTTATCACGATTCCTGGCCGCTTCTTCGCGGTGTCGTTTAAGCGAGAAAGGGCTCCCTTTGTTAAAGATCGACGAGAGACAGGGACAGGCGAGAAAAAGGGAGGTAAAGACGAAGGTATTGAATTTACACCGCGCTATATACGCCGTAGATACAACAAAAGATCTCCCTATCCGAGTTTCGGGCTGCACAAAGGAGCCTTGCATTCTTCGTTCCAGATGGAAACGCCGGATAATTAAGTCTGATTCCGTAGACGCGTGCATTTTCGTCGAGCAAAACATTGTACTGTTTGCTGTTCACCAGCCATTTTACGCGGACGTTTATATTGGAACACATTTAAAAATACATTCTAACAGTTCCATTTTACGATTGAAACGCATTTGGCGTGGTTCTTCTTTGTTCGAGCACAAAGAAGATCACTTTTGGAATGATTTCATTATTTCTTTTCTCTTGGTGGGTTTTAATGATCAGTTGTAGGGAATATTCCTTAGATACACTGGGATGTGCGATATTTCTTTTGCACCTGTTAAGATATAATAGCATTTATTAAGGATAATTATGTAGGGGAGACCTACCCCTAGTAACAATGCCCCCCCAGTTCACATGTAATGTCCCTAGGAAGATTTATCACTATAGTGGGAGGCACGTCATACCCCCTCCCTTTATAGTCAGTCGACGCCGAGTTCCCGCCTAAACTGCTGTTGTTAACCTAATTTTGTGATTTGATAACCACCAAGTAAGTTTTTCTTCTTTCAAGTTTTTTGTAATAAACGATAGGCAATGCCGAGATTCTGAGGCAAACAGGTGTCTATGTAGTCTTAAATAGTACATTAACCTAACCAGATCTTTGATTTAGACCGTCAATATACTTTCCAAATTATTAATTTTCAAACTTAAAAAACGTGTTTGGAGACGAAAGTAACACATTTTAGTGCATGAAATGTAAGAGTTGGTCTCATGAAGACTGTATTGAAGGTGAGCAGACTTATCTCTGCCGTAATGGTATTTCATAAGTTGTTTGTAGACTTTATAACCGTGTTTTGTGTAAGCTGTTAAAAGTTAAAACTTGTCTTCGGGATAAGTTTTGATAACAAATTAACAAGATTCCTATAATATTATGTGTATAATTTATTCAGAGGCTATATTGATTGTTGCAATAAAGATAAAACTTTGTATAACATGTGTCATTCGTACTGTTACTTTTGTCCTGGACACCAGGACGAAAGTAACACTTGTCATGTCTACGGACAATGTTCATGGCTACTTAATATATTGCTTACATGGAACTTCAACCAGTGTGCATTTATAGAGAAATATATGGGCTACATGTATAACTTTTTTCAAATTCACTCTAAACACTCACTGGTAATAAAGCCAAATATGAAAAATGTTACTTTTGTCCTCTGTCTCCCCTATTTCTTTTCTCTTGGTGGGTTTTAATGATCAGCTGCAGGGAATATTCCTTAGATACACTGGGATGTGCTATATTTCTTTTGCACCTGTTAAGATATAATAGCATTTATTAAGGAAAATTATGTATAGTGATATGCAGCTGAGGCTTCTGTTGGTTAAGAGGAAATGTAGGAGTGTGTAAATTAGGTTCTTCTGAGGATCTCCCAAGGCTCTTCTCCTTCCTCAGGTCTAATGTATGTGGTAAGAGGCTTCCCATATTTACTTTTAACCAAAGGAAGCCTACCTTGCACACGACTATGTATGGGAATAATGGAAATTCAAGGATTTAATGAATTTTTCATCTATTCCTTTTCTAATTTGTGTCAAGCCCCTGGATAACGTTGTCTATGTAATTATTTAAAAATTATTTAGTTTCTCTTTTTTAAGTATTTACAAACTCAGGTCTAATGTAAGTAGTAAGAGACTTCCCATATTTATTTTTAACCAAAGGAAGCCTACCTTGCACACGACTACATATGGGAATAATGAAAATTCAAGGATTTAATGAATTATTCATCTATTCCTTTTCTAATTTGTGTCAAGCCCCTGGATAATGTTATCTATGTAATTATTTAAAAATTATTTAGTTTCTCTTTTTTAAGTATTTACAAACTAAACTATCCAGTGAAATTTCACCCGAGACCCCTCGCTACCTATTTTGTAAAGTTTTCCGTATCCAATTTAACCGTTCTATTATTCCCTACTTTCGCACACGACGGCCATACACGAGGACCGACTGGTAACAGTAGAAAATATTTCGTTGGCAGTTCATAGCGAATGTAAAAAAGTGGATGAAGTACAGAAAGAAACGACCCACTTTCCTTGGAAACAGGATTAGATTCTCCGTTTCTTATTTTCACCGGTGATATCGTGAATGTTTACAACGGAGAGGAAAAACAAATGTACCTTCAGTCGAAATTTAATCGAGTTAACTCGACGATTCCTCAGACTCGATTTTTCGACTTTGTTTTTATCAGAAAGAAACGTTTCCAACCGTGTCGTAAATTATCTTCCACCTTTTTCCCCTTTGAACACTGAATTTTTCTTTTTCAAACAAAGTACCAGTGGGAAGATTATTGAAGATCAATATCTCGAGGAAAAAATGAAAAAGAATTTGCTACACGCGTAATATTCTGGGCAATTGATTGTTTTTATTCAATGTACATCGGGCGGTTAAGCGGTTGTTTGTTAGTTTTTCCATCATCGAACAGCCATGGCTATTAAAATTCATAAATATTTGGAGGGCAGGGCGGATGCATAATTATTGATAGATTTACATACCTCTCGTGTGGAGATCGAATTTATTGTTCGACTCAGGCATGCATAGAATGTAAATAAATTTTGCGATAATTTTTTAAAAATATATTTCTGTTTGCAGGAAGTGTTACACACGATCAGTGCACCCAGCGGGCAAGTTCAGCGTATCGTCATCTTCAAGAAGAATGGCGTTCAAGCGATGGTGGAATATCCTTTGCAATGCAATCTGTCCACTCAAAGTGGATCGCGTTTTACGAGCCGTCAAGCTTTTTTCGGGCTTCTCGAACCGCGATAAATGGGTTTTTAAGCTCGAAAGAGGATCTCCGTCGTAACACCCTTCCGTTTCCTCCCCTTCTTTCTTTTGTCGGAATCGCTAAAGTTTGTCGGTCACGTGCCAGCGTTACAATGTGATGAAGATTTATAAGCAAAAGTTGCGATCGCCACGACTCGGTTACAGGATCTTCCGGTCCAGCGACCTTATCCCTAAGCCTCCTGATGCTTCCGGTTGAACATCGCCAAGCAACTCCTGGCATACGAATGAATGACCCCCTTTTTCTTTCGGTTAACTACCGGGATACTCGCGAAAGTTTTACATATTGCACTTTAAATAGGTTCGTTGTCCTGAAATGTTTAAAGTTAGTTTAGTTTTTTAAATCGTTGAGAATGTTTTAAAAATAATGATAGGATATTTCAGTTGATTAATTAACAAAATTTCAGATTTATTAATAACATACAAAATTTTATACATTTTTTTTTTGATAGGATATTGGTCATTGCCCTTAAAAAAATTATGTATTTTTGAATATCTTGAATTGTACAGCCTGTTGCTTCGAAAGTGTGTTATTTAAAATTTCTTCACCCAAGAATCTAGCAGCATTTCCATTTCCGTTCGAACGACAGAGATCCTCTTTGCTTCGAGTATCCGTTTCGTAGATGATTTCCGTTGATCGATAGCTTGCAAGATACTTCTATATATTCTTAACTGAATTCTTCGGTAACCACGTTCGACTCGGTGGAATCGGCAACCAGGGCGAAGGAGACACTTCACGGAGCAGACATATACTCTGGTTGTTGCACACTCAAGATCGACTTCGCCAAGGTGAGTACTTGAAATCAATTTTCTTTTATTAATATTTTGATGACCGATCGGTCTTCAGTATCTTAGATTTAGAATAATTGTTAACTCCATGATAAGGACAGATTTGACTCAGTAAAAATTATTTCTATCTTTTATTAATCATACTTTTTTAATTTTCATTGCACTAATTCGTTGCATGTTAAGTTTCTCTTTTTTATGGAGCTTTAAAAATTTCATAAACATTCTAGTTAAGAGTACTTAATTAAATTTGTAGCTGAAAGGCACATTTCGACCACAGAAGATTAATCCTTTGAAACATTCAGAGCAAACACACTTTGTGAACTGTTTCAATTTCACAGCAGTAGCCTTCTTTCTGTCTGATTATACAGTATAAAAATTACAATATTTCTCTCCAGTGCGAATGAAAAATATTAATAGAGAGTATCAAAGATAAGGTTACTTTTTTAATTGAATATCTTGATTGAATGCTTTTAATTAGTCTGCGAGAAAACAGTTAACAATTATACTAAAAATAAAGAGCGGTTCATTTAGAGGGACTTTTACCTCCGTTACACCTACACACCTCGCGCAATATCGGGCGCAAAAGAACATCATGATAAAAGGGGTAGAAAAGGAATTCTAAAGTGAACCACACGGGTTTCTGAAGTTTCATCCGTGAGAAATACATTTGAAACCGGGGGAAAAAGGAACATTCTTTCGTGTCGTATTTGTTAAATTTGCTAATTAGACACCGGTTGAAATATTGAAAAGAATGTCGTCAGTGGAGCCGGCCGCTTGTGCGCGGGTAATTGGAATATGTAACGAGCACGTAAAATGAATGAAACCAGCGAATTTCCTCGAGTTTTATGATACCGTGGATACAGGGTCCTTATTACGTAAGAGAAACGTGAATTTAGAACGTTTCCATTATTTGAGAAACCGTTTCTCCGTTGAATTCTTTCTCATGAATATTAACAACGAAAACTGAAGAGGCTTATTTTCTTCTCTGTATATTTCATCCTTCGTTAATGAATCAACCTTAGGTTTAATCAAAGCTAATTTAAAAAAAAAAAATAAAATTAAGTCGATATTGAACGTGTTTAAAATCAAAGATCAAAGTATTTCATTTTAACACCTCGAGGGTTTTACTTATCTCCTATCAGAATAATTACCAGTTTTCCTCGTGGAACGTTTTTCCCCCGCGTTTCATTTTCCTCTGTCGTCTGTTGCATCGTGAAAAGGATCGCAGTGCAAACAGCAACCGTGCGCTCGAAGTGGAGTGAAAAGAAAATCACGCGCGTTAACGTTAGGCCTGAGGCAATGAGGTCTTTCGTGTCGTTTGAAAAAGAAGAGAGAGAAAAAAAAAAGGGGTGATTCGAATAGGTAGACGCGTGAAAGCCGGTCGTTCTCACCTAACGAGTTGAGATCTTGTTTCAGTTGGTTGAATCGTGGACTGATCGAACATCACGTTTCCAATGAACGACAACGTTTTCGCGTGCTTTTGATTTCAAGCGTCAATTGGAAAGTGTAACTCGTTATTACTAATTTCAGGTTCGAAAAACTTCCATTTCGATTATTTTCTCTCGTGTAAATGTTTGCGTGGTACGATTCGGCCAACGCACGGTAAACGTTGTTTTGGCAGATCTTTCCATTGGCAATAGTTGTAAAACGGGTGGGATTATTTGGCCACGCAAGCTCCGCCTCGAAATCCAATTTCGTACTTTGGGCAGTGGCTTAGTCTCTATTTTCATTATAGTCGAAGCGTCGTTTTGGCAAATACTTTCAGCTACTGGCCAGGGCTCCATTTAAAACAAGACCGTTCGACATCGATGCATTCTTCCATATAATTTAGGATACTTATGGAATTTTATCAAAATTCTAGAAGAGAAAATCGTGAAATTATTAATAAATTAATTGCAGAATTTTAAATTCTATATCGATCCTTGAAATGCAAATTGCAGAAGTTTTATCGAACACAAGTGTCCTTCGAAATGCAGTTCCTCTTTTGAACTGGAAACGTCGATCGTTGGTAATGACGTGCGTGTAACGGGTAAATATACACGAGGCTCGATGGAAATCGTTTGCATTCAATAAATTTACACGCTCGTCTCCGCTGGAGAGGAGGCTAAGCGATAAGCGGCCACGTTTCGATGCTTTGTCAAGCTGTCAGAGTTCCTTGCAATATTTCCCGAACGGAGTTGCCGTGCTGAACGCAACAGTGTCCACGTGCACTCTGCATATCGCGTGTAAATGCATTTTTATTCACGTCAATTTGAATAGTTCGAAAAACGTGCGAAACAGACGAGTTCCATCGGTGCACGATCTTATTTTTAGCAGAGATGATTTATCATTCTTATATTTGAAAAAAAAAAAACACAATTCATCATTTTCGCGATACCCAGTTCCATTTATTACTTGCACTTTCAGGCATTCGAGAATAGTATTTGTAATTGCCCAAGTTGGCCAGTAAAAATGACGAATGTTTACCGAAAAATTATCGCGTTGATCGACTCGATTACCGTGTTATCGTCAACGTGAAAAACGACTGCACTCGAAACAACCTGGAACTTGCTGAAGGCAATTACTGGAAATTTTTCGTAGAGCGAACCACTCGATTGCTCGTAGAATTCGATGACGTCGAGCAACTACGGGGTTGCTTGTTAGCGGTTCGAGTGACTGGTATCAGAACTTTCTAACGAAATTCAATTGTCGATGGCAGTCATTTGACAATGTTAGACTTGTAGTTTTTCATAATTATTACCTCTTTCTATACGGGGGTGGCACTTGGAGCGGTGTTTCTTTGAGGTCCGTCAGAAAATCTGTACAAGAACCACGCAGGTCTCGGTCTATCGATCGCAAACGAATCTACCAACTAGTTGTACAAACTGATTACGAACATTAACGGTTCGCAGCTGGTTCTTGGTCCGTCGGTTGTGCGTCTAACCAAGGGGTGAAGCCATTTTGGCAGCACGTAGCTAATGATCGAGTTACCTAGCTCTCCGGCCACCTCTATAATTATACTTCAGTTTGTACCAAATATTCGCATTAACCGACCGGTGACAATGAAGAACGATCTGGCAATTATTTCCTCTCATCTTCTTTTATAGCGTCTCGTTCGTATTCCACCGGCCGTTTATGTCCCGTTGATCGTTTTATCGCGACGTTTTACCTATCTTCACCATCCAGCTGGTTCGATTTTCATATTTTTATTCGATTTAGTAGCACTAGGATTCAATGATTGAATGATAAATCATTTGAAAAATTTAGACGAAGAAAATTTTCATGAGAATTTCACGAAATTTCGTTGATATAAAATAACCTGGAAATTTGCAATGAAGAGAACATCGAATACCCATTAGCGAAGAATACTCTGGTCCGATAGCGTCCCGCTGCTCGACGAACGAAAATTAAGAGTGCCGCAGCTTGATTACCGGTTAATTAGAACGCTGTTATCTGTGACGTTTTCGGAGCGACGGGACACGGATTCACAGGCGAAAAAAATTCTGAATACGAGCCGGGCTCCCGTTGTCCGATGGAGTGTCGGGAGATTAAAAGGGACACGGCGCGAAGTAAACAGGAAATTAGTTTGGTAGTCGGTCTTGTAACGATGTTTCATTAGTTCTGCCTTCTTTCTTTCTCGATTTTCCCGTAACCAGCCAGGTGACACGCTGTCTTTCATGGTTCCACTCCACCCTGTGTCCTTTTATTCTTTTAGTAGGAGGTGAAACGAGGGTGAAGGTGCAAGTAGATTTTTGGTACTATTAGTAATTTTACAAAGAAATGTCAATTAAAATTAATCAGCACTCTTTCAATGATTTAAAAAATTAATATTCCCAAAAATGAGCAAAATTTATAATTCACCAGTTATTTATTTCTTAATTTTATCGCGGATTTACCGTAGCTTTGTTGAAACGCTGTTGGCTCAATGGAATCATCGTTTCGTTCGATTAAGCGGCATCGTAATTGCGCGAAACGACACTATCAAGATCCTCCATTGCTCGGTTAATCGGATTATCAGAGTGAATCATGGCCGATTTGGATCTAATAAAACGATTCAATCCAGGTATACATCATTTTACCATTTCTCTTACTTACCTTTAGCGAATACGAACGTTTCTTTACGCGAACGTTAATTGAACTCGTTATCGCGTAAACAGCGAAAATATTGTTCATGAAATGCACATGGCAGCACGCGCACGCTAATTGGATACCGCACGATGCAATTTATGCGACACAGTTCGTTAATGCCGTTAATTATGTCGATGTCGGCGTACTAACTGGTAAACCGATCTACGATATCCTCGTAAAGTCGCGTCGATTCTTTTGGTAATTAATCGAGAAAATGGTAAATCGAGGACAGCCTTGAACTTTCCAACAAATCTAATTTTAGCTCTAATTTTTATTTCACAAGCACAGGATATCCTTTATTACATTGTTTTTGAAAGATTATTTCTGGAAGTAATTAATCATTAATTCTTTATTTCTTTTTTAAATGATACACATAAACATCGTGTGTTATCTCAGGAAACACTAATAATTGAAAATATCAAATTGATGCATTAAATTATAGAAAATTATTCTTTAACATCTTTAATAATTCCCATTATTCTACATTATCGTGTACTTTATTAGACATAACATATTTCCAATGTGCTAAGTAACCTGTTAAACACTCTTATAATTGAATTTCCTCAAAATTCATCAACTCTTGTTTTTCCTTAATGACTCATTAATCAACCTAAGTACTCGAACGTGCATCAGAAAATGAGGCAACTTTTTCTCTCGCTCCATAATACATAAGTTCTTCTAAGTCTCTCGAGTAGAACAGTTCCTCTGGTCGCGCAATCCGTATCTAGCTAATTAATCTTCAACGAAAAAGACTACAAATTCCGCTAAAACCATGCTTCGAATTTCATAGGTTGCTTTGAAGTCGTTCTCGCGAAATTCGCGAAATTCCCGAAATTCCTGCCACCTGCCAGTCAACCCCGGTGCTGTTCCCTCGCGGTGAATTCACCTCTGTT